ATTATTACAATATATTCTTCTCTTTAAAGAGCCCACAGAGCCAATCATCTAATGACAGGTGCAATAGGTAGCAGCAATAATTCGGCATACAAATTCAGAGAGCTATTATTATTATTATTATTATTAATAACAGTAGCATTTTAATCACATAAAAGGACACTTCAGGGTTTTGTAATTTTGTGATCACAGGCAAAGAGACACAGGCAGAACAGAAAAGCTGCACCAAGTGATTGCACAATTGGAGGCTACCATTTCTCTTCTGGTACTTAGAATGTTGCTAAATTAGTATTTTCATCCAATTACCTTTCCCAGGCTAAATATTCAGACATCAACTCCCGTTACTGCTAATTGAGGTGGGCACAATTCCTCCCGGCTACGTGGTTTCCCAGCTAAACCCCCCACAAAGGAAGCAGCTCCTCGGAAAACGTTCGGCTCAACAGGCAAGACTGGATGGCTGGAGGGACTAACGCTGGCATGTGAAGCTTCTTGCTTCCCCAGCACCTGAGGGGGTGCCCAAAGAGCTCTCCAGCTGCTCTTAGAAGTTCCTCTGAAAGTTCCTCTGAACTCCTGAAAGGAGGAACTCCTCGGTGGTGGAAGCTCCGTGGAGAGAATCTCCATCCAGATCAGAGAGAGGGGGCAGGTGACAGTGTCACAGCGCGGCGAGGAACGCCGGCAGGATTGCACAGCATTTGCCAGAGAGAAAAAACTTTGAAGGTTTCTGAGTCTCCGGACAATCAACTTGGTCCTTTCTAGAGGCCTCTCTGTATACATTCATGTGGTCACTCCTTTTCTTTCTCAGCCTCTTCAAACCCTTTTTTTATCCTGGAGAGCCAAAATAGCGCAATTTCCAAGCAACCGAGACCAATGACCTCCCATCTTCAAAACAAACAGTCGGGACAGCTCAGGCCATCGTCTGAGCTGAGCACACAAACACGGCCTAAGCAGCCACGGATCTTCCAGGAACTGTTACCCTGCCTGTGCAGAGAGCCCGGCGTACTCTGTCACCCAGCAAACAAACGTGGGACAACGTGGAGCACCCGACACGAGGGTGAAGGCTAAACACCGCATTTCTTTTAGATCCAGCTGCTGTCAGACCTTTGCCATCCAGTTCTGGTGACCCGGCCATGTCCTAGATTGTGTCACACAAACTCACGTCAGATGAAGAGATCACAAAGCCTCACCAAGATGCAAAAATTCAGCATATGCTGAGAGAAGCAATGGCTGTGACAAGGCAATTCATAGTTTTAGGCGTGATTTCAAGTGGGGAGAGAGCAAAAAAAAAGGGGGGAAACCTAGTTAAGGAATGCTATTTTTATACTAAAATTAATATCCTAATGTGCAGTTAGGTAGTGAAAAATTACTGTCTAACAGCACAGCAAGGTTCCATATTTACTCGCTGTCACTGATTTCAGAGCAAATTGGCTCAGGTTATAAGTCAAAGAAGGATTCCTCTGCTGCCAGCACTGCACACTTCAGGAGATATCTGAGAATCAGGCTTCTTACCTTATCATTGTTAAAAGACTGTGCAATCAAAACGTAACTGACAATTCAGCTGATGCATGAGCAGAAATAGATGCCAGCTCACTCTCCCGTAGCTACAGAAACTCTGTAAAGCTAACAGGATTTTAAAAACATTTTGTCAGAAAAATAAGTGGCTATGACAGACCCAGGGAGCGGGCAGAATAATAATTCAGCTATCTAATGCTGGATATCACAGTGACAGGTGCATTTCAAGTGCTGCGCTCCAGAATACGGTTGCCCTCTCCAGCAGCCTCACTCGGAGGAATTCAACACGCTTTGCAAACATCAATTAATTTAATGCTCACAACACTGGGGACAGGAATGCTGAGACACTGAGGCAAGAAGGGTTAAAATAACCAGATCAGCACTGGCAACACAATACATACCTGCAGATCTCTAGCCTCCACCCGCAGCCACAAGCCCAGCAGTGCTATTTATTAAGTAGTTGTCCTAAAGAAGCACGTTTTGGGTTTGATTCTAACAGTGGCCAGATACTCGGCAGGTCTTCCTTCCGTCAGCTTAAGTGAGGAGAGAATTTTTGCAGGTAATTCTGAAAGCCCTGCAGTCACGCAGTCATTCACACCAGAGCCTTGTGGTTATTCTAAGAGATCATCCTTCCACCCTAGTAGTGTGCTTTGCCCGTTTCCATGGCATAATTTCCAGGGAAATCACCACGCATCTGAAATGGCTGCAAGCCTAAAACGTGTTTACCCCACTTGAGGGCACGGGCTGGGATGTTCAGCGTGGCACATCTCATCACAAGCATCACAGGTGAATAAATAACGCTCATGAAAGAAAGACGGTGAGTGGGTTTAAGAAAAGGGCTTTCACATTGTGATGGTTACAAGTGACAGCAATCAAGACTTCTGTACAAATAGGCTATGTCCAGAGAACCTTGA